AAAAGGAGGCAAGACATCAGGGTGTGTAGCATTGCAGGGGCAAGACATTTTTTCGGGCTCCACTGTCCAGCACAGCACACACTTCCAGATCATGCACAAGCATACAAATGTTCCTTTCTTGACCCTGTGCTTTGAAGTGAAACACAGTGGCTCTGAAAGTTTTCTTTGGTGAGAGGCAATCTCTCCTCATATGGCCATGGCCTGAGCAATTATGATAGAGAATCTCCTCCCCTTTAATACCTTCATAGCCTTTTCCTTTTTATGGTTTGTGGTTAGGGTTGGGAGGCTCAGGCTTCGAGCTGATGGCCAAGGATGCTGTGACAGTCTCTACAGCTAGCTCCTCAATTCCCTCTCGGACCAATGCAGCACGAGATCTCCGTTCGGATGTACAGCTGACCCCTGAATGTGTGAGGCCGGTGACATATGATGCTGCCCACTGTTGTGGAAATTCTATTTTAAGCAAGAGTCTGAGTCCATCTGAAGAAGTAAGAAATATAGATTTTATAAAATGGAAAACTTAATGAAGTGAGAGCAACCAGCACGATCATACAAGTGACGTACCAAGCTCCTCTAAAGTAAAACAAAATCATAGTGCATTTTATACCCCTCTCTGAGTCTGAAATGAGAGGCTAAGTCTGTCTTCCATCCTGCACCTGTATTAAACAATCCTCAATAAAAAACATTAAGAGACTAAATATAAGGAAACCTTCTGGGACCATGAAGGAGGAAGGAGCCCTATGAGAAAGAAAAAGAACCTTTAAAATATTCACTGGTAGAAAGTTATCAGAGAGAAGTGAAGAAAGGGAATATACATACATTGATTTCCCCCACACCAATTAGAAGTTTCATGGCGACAGGCAATGCCATAGGCTTGGGCTAGTGTGCAGGGGCACTGCACAATTTCTGCATCTCCAATAGCATTAGTGAAAATTTCAACATCTATTGCTTCCTGCTCAGGTTCACTTCTCTCACTGTAGGCTGCTGACACTTTCCCATAAATGTAATCTCTCACGACATCCATTTCACAGACATGCTGTCTCAGTTCAATTGCCACTGCAGTGGCGTGATCTGAAAAAGGGCAGTGTCTCCATTTCCTCCACTAGGTGGCAGTAGTCCCACTGTGAAGGGACAGGGTTTCTATGGATGAATGCTCCTACAGCACCCACCAAGCTGAAATTTAGCTGGATGGCCATAGTCTTTACTGACCTGCCATTAGCCTGGGCACAGCTCTCAAACCTTTGCAGAAGAGACCTTTAAACTGTACAGTCTCAGTATTATTTCTTTTCTCTGGTGAATGTCCATAATAAAAGTCTGTAGTCGCAGCAGGGGGTGTGCGTCCCTTGGCATGTGTAGCATGGGGGTTGTATGTAACAGATGTGCTTTGAACAAAACTCTCCAAATGTACAGGGGAGAAGGGATTGGTATCGGGCCTTGAGACCACAACAGCCGGTGGCATGACTTTGTGTTGCAGCTTTACTGGTAGGGCATGAACTTGGCAATTTTGCACATGGAAATACTGGTCTTTGCTGGAAAAATGAGCAGGAAAAATTACAGTTTTGTAGCAACTGGTCCCATGTTTTGGACTTGTTTTCATTTGTTTCTGTCCCTTATCTGACAACAGAAAGCTTTGACAAAATACGATATCCCATGTTGGAGTTTGAGTGTAGGTGCATGAATTTGGCTTTGACTGTGTGTGTGTGTTAAACAAGGCCAGAAAAAACAAATCAATCTTGATTGTATTGATAATGTACACTTGCATCTCTTGTTCCAGCCTTTCCTGTCAATCAGCATTACAGTATTCAATTGAGTATTCAAATACAACTGTGTTTTGAATCACAATCAGCCCAGATGTGTCTGGGTGAAGTATCTCTACTGAGTGAGCCATCACTCATTACAAATAAATCAGCCCCCTTTCAAATTTGCATTAAAAAGTCTGGAGACCAAAGAGTCTGTAATTAATGATTGGTAATTAACTGTTGGCTCTATTTTCAGTTACAGTTCAGTTACAGTTCAGACATATGCCTAGTGGATTGTTTAATTTATTTTAATGTTAACTATCAGTTAGCTTATCACTGTGGTGGAGTGTGACAAAGAGAGAGTGACAAAGGGGTTAACCTTAATAAAACGAAGGAGGTTAAGAGTAACAAACGGAGACCCTCTGTCATCATTCAGTTTTATCTCCTATTTTGCTGTATTGGACAACATGGAAAACTATTAAGGACTTGTAAACCAATATTATTTCTAGATATCATGCTCTTAATTATTTTTGCTTTGGTGGGAATTGTCATTGTGTGTACCAACGGTGGGTGGGACTAGCTGGAAATGCTAGTCCCACCCAAGAAACACATCTATTCTATAACAAGGCTGAGTTTTGTCTCAGCATCTTTGTTTGTTACAGTGAAGGCATTTTATTAAGAAATATCCCAACAAGAAGCTGTTCACCATCTGCCAGATTAAGTAGTCAAGTGGTAGTAGTCTGATATTTCTCTCCATTAGTAGTGGAGGTGGTGAGCCACTTAATACTTACTATGTAATGTAAATCAGAACCAAAATGCGGATGTAACCCGTGAGATTAAGTCTTACCTTTTTGAAAACTGTTTTGATTCTTCATTGTCAGCTGCATGACTGCTGCCATGTGCGCTTCTCCCCTAATTAATACACTACCATTCAAGCAAAAAACTAGTCTTCCCATAATGTTATGGTAATCTTACGTATTAACTCAGGCAGCAATCTGCTAACTTTTCTTTGCAGTGGCACCTCTGTCTGTTGCTCTTTCTTTTAAAAACATATTCAAACTCCCTGTACACCTTCAGCCTATGCCAGCTGTCAACGGGCGAGAGGTGGGGTACACCCTGGACAGGATGCAGTTCATCCAGGGTTTTAGTTATTCATGGGAAGACTTAAAGTGGACAGCTATTGGCACAATATACACTTTAGAAGCTAATTTGTTTTTATACAGTCACTTTAAAGTAGGCTTTAGATCATATTAATGGATTTATAAAAGCTTAACAATATTCTCCGTCTTGCATAGAATGTTTTTTGAATTTGCGTCATTTCAGTATATGTATATGTATACTGTATATGTATAATATGCCAACATTCGTGGGCGAGAATTTAAGTATTTGTGCGGACTAAAACACAATCTTCACAGAAAGAAAGAAAGAAAGAAAGAAAGAAAGAAAGAAAGAAAGAAAGA